ACATCAACACACATCAACACACACACATCAACACACACACACACACACACACACATCAGCAGCTGGATGTTTACCTGCGTCTGTTCTGGATCCTCTGAAGTCGACAGGTTTCAGTACGGACGCTGAGACGGTCGGTTGCTGCTGTTAATCTGTGTGAGACAGTCAGACTGTAGATATGAGTATGAGTTACTGACAACCTCTTATGATAAATCACTTTGTGATCATCAGTTGTTTATCTTGTAACTATAATCTGATGTGTTTGTGTTGAGTTTTATCTATCCCCAGTGAACCGCAGGGCGTTAGGAGGAATCACAGTATCAGGTGTTTCTCAGCTCGTACTGTAAACAGGATGTTTGTCCCGCTGTATTACTGGAAGTCAGGCTGCAGCTCTCAGACTGAAAGTAGCTCACAGGTAGAGTTGGTCAGAAACACTCGGAGGACCAGCCGGCGTAGTTAACCTGTATCTGCTATAAGGTGAAACATCCTAACCTGTAAAAGCAGAGAAACACTGAAGCTGAGGAGGGATTGTTGTCAGACCCGAGGTGTCGTTCAGGAGCCGCTATCAAAGTCTGTCTGCCATTTTAGAGACACTTGAACAATCTCTGCCTCCAGCCTTCGTAAGCTCGGCTGAACACTGAGCATCTCTACAGGGTGAAAACTATCCTCTGAAACAGACTTTAGGACACGAGCACGAGCGTCCCTTTAGGTCGTCTGCAGAGTGAAATGACTTTAATAAACTGTAAGAGAACAATGTGGAGCCTCGTCTGTTCGTCCTTCAGCAGCCTGCAGCTCTCAGTGCTGCTGTGTCACCGTACCATAGAACAAAAGAGTGTGTGACGGGCGTGATAACTAATGTTTCCTTAATCAGTCACACAGCTGAGTCATTTCAATGCTCTTCAACGTGCTCCACAGTCATTTGTGCCAGAAAAGTGTGTGAAAATGAAATGTGTGAGGTTGTAGACGGATAGCGACGAGTTGTGTGAGAACATGAAGCTGTAAATGTTTTTATTCAGGAGAGCTTGTGTTGCTGTTTCAGGTCCTCCATGAGACGTTTCCTCAGCACACATTCCTGATGAACGGCCTGGTTCAGGGCGTGAAGGTAAGACACCACAGCAGCAGATACTAACACCGGAGGAGGTACATCATAACTAATGTTTAATGTTTAATAGATAATAAAAGTCCAGTGTGGAGTGATTAGTGTTGACTGAAACAACATGAATACACTGTTTGTGCTACATACAGCCAGCAGTTAATCCATCAGGATTAAACACGTTTAAAAAACTTGTGAAACTGGTTTATAAAGTTGAGAAACAGAGCGACTCAGGGAGACAGCGAACTTTCTCTCCCCTGATTCTGATCCCTGAACCTGCAGGTCTGACACCACAGCTCTGTGTCCAACATTTACAATCTGTAAACCTCTCGACACCGCTGTTCTGAAAGGGATGTTGTTGCTCTTTGTGCCTGAATGAATGAAAGGAAACAGAAGAAAGAAACTCTAGTTTTCCACTCATAGAAAGAATTGATTTAAAATGACCAAATATCCAGGAAACGATCTCTGTTGTATTTCAGCCCCTCACTCAGACTGTTGGTTGGGGAAACTGCAGTACGACACACAAACACTTCTTATTGTTGTGGTTCATAAATACACACAGCAACACTATTAGAGACAAAGATAAAAGCAGAAAATGTCCCAGAGCTTTAAATAATCACTGATTAATCATTTAGTCCACAAATCATCAGTGACACATCGCAACATCTTACAGAACCAGTGTTTTCAAACTTACACACTGGAGCTTTAATTCATAACTTTGTACAGTTCATATAATGTATAATGCAATAATAATATACAATATATAACATATAAACAGTTTATTAATCAATAAATCTGTAAAACACAAACACATGATCACTGTGTTACATGTGAACGTTGTGTGGAGGTTGTTAACGTGTTCCTCTGTTGCTGTTCAGGGTTTCCTGTCGTTCCTGTCGGCTCCTCTGATCGGTGCGCTGTCAGATATCTGGGGCAGGAAGTCTTTCCTCCTCATGACGGTGTTCTTCACCTGTGCCCCCATCCCCTTCATGAGGATCAGCCCATGGTGAGACCACAGGGCTCAACGTTAATGGGTTGGGGTTTTTTTTCCACTTGCCCAGTCGGGGAAGAGTCAGAAATCTGCTCAAAGTTAATTCTCTTTTATTCATCAGCGATAAACTACAAACACCCTCGTAGAGAGATGCTGTCGGCTCGTGTTGTGGCAGTCCGGTGACGTTTTCAGAAACTTGATGTGTCTTTGAAAAACGATCTGTTTTCATCCTTCACTCGATCAGGAACTGAGCATGTGCAGCTCTCGACTGTTCCCCGGCCGCCGTGTTAATGAGCACATCTCTGTCATTGTAAAGCGGCAGTCAGGTTTCTGCTGTGTGACGCTGCAGGTATCGAACACACAGCCAGCTGTGGACAGCAGATATCACTGTTGGAGCTCTATGTGTGCACACAGCCAGAGTTTTCATTACGGCTGCAGGAGCTGTAAAAAATAACTTTACTGATCTTCTAATACATCAGTGATTCCCTGCAAAAATAAAAAGTCTGACTCCAAATCACAGAGATGCCACTTTGACTGATATTATCACAGGACCAATTTGTGGAGGAATTTTACTTTACCAGTTACGACGGATTCACACAGGATTACGATCAGACTCTAATTATTACAAATCACATGAAGTCCCCTGATACTGCTGCTCCACGGTGAGCGGGGCTGAAATCCTGCTCAGTGTGGAAGTCATTGATTGAGCTTTAATGAACGTAGAACTCTTGTGTTCACCGAGCCGCTCTCTCTCGTCCGTTGTTCTGCTCCGTTCTTTGTTCCTGGAAATAATTCAGACTGATCCACTGACATCAGGTCAGGTTACATTTCCACTAAGAAGTGACGTGTCTTCTGTAGAAACTCTGGACGGGAGCGTGTTTACCTAACCTGCTGATTCCGCTTTCAGCATTTACGTTAATCTGTGGCTGACAGCAAACAGGTGAACGTGAAATCTCTATTGTTTTACGTTTGTCTGTCCTGTTCCATCAGCTGTTAGATTTATTTTCTCTGTTTTATATATCACTGTGAAATTAATCTGTTTAACTTTTGGATTGTTGACCGGACCAACACGACATTTAAGGAGGTTTTGGACTCTGAAACTGGGATGAACATAATGGAGAAGATAATGAACAGATGAATTCATACTGAACTTGATGGTTAGTTTCAGCCCCGCTCTGATCTGAGTCGGCAGAGCGAGTGGAGGGTCTGCTGCAGCCTTTTGGAGTTTGAGCAGTCACATGTTGTTCATGTGAGCGGCGAGGATCAGCATGAACGCTGCAGATCAGAGAGCAGCCGGCGAGTCAGCAAACAGCCCCGATCAGCTCCAGAGTTCATGAGTTCTTCATGCAGAGTGTGTTTGCTGTATGTATGAAACATGAGCAGAAGCAGAGTGTTAAACATCCTTCTGTTCGGATTAAACAGTATATAATATATCTACTCCACAGCCTTTTAGAAACATTTCTTTAAAGATTATTTTGAGTCTTAAGACGGTTCACTGCAGCTCGAGATCAGCTGACCGGCTCTCCTCGTGAAGCTGAAACCCAGCAGCTGGAGATCAGTCACATGGTTTGTGCATCACGCTCCACAAACCCTCAGTTCAGAATAACTAATTAAAGAGTTGTTTGAGATCAGATCAGACGCAGGCAGCAGGAGAAAAGCCCTCTCTGCGGATCGTCACAAGATTCTCCTTTTAGCTTCATTCCTGTAGAAGTTGTTAAAATGTTAAAAATTACTTGAACAGTTACTTGATTGTTCCTTTTCAAATATTTGTCTGTAAGTGGAAAATCTAAAGGATTGATTCAGGATCTCCAGTTATTGTGTAAGAAGATCAGACGTCTACACGCTGTTTAATCATCTGAGAGGTTCAGGTTTAAGGGTCAACCAAAGACTGAAAGTGTGCTGAATATTTGACTCCTTAAGATGTAAAAACTAAAGGTTTGAGCTTTTTAAAATAACAAAATGTGAATCAGTTATTTGAGATATCGGTAATCGGTATCAGCGGGGAAAAAGATCCATATGTTGCGTCCCTAAACATCATGTCCAGCCTGTAAATGATCAACTCTCGATGTGAGTCAGTGTCAACATAATAGTCCTCTTCCTGAGACGCTTCCTGAGTTACTGTGTCCCCGAAGCTGAATTTTAATGACACGATGATGACGATGATGATGATGCATCCAAATGTGCTCTGACAGCCATAAACACTGCAGCTGACTGAATGAACCTGTGTATAAAGAGTCTCTGAGCTGTTTCCTGTCTGCTCCTGTGTGCAGGTGGTATTTCGCTCTGATCTCAGTCTCAGGGATTTTCGCTGTGACCTTCTCGGTGATCTTCGCCTACGTCGCCGACATTACAGAGGAGCACGAGAGGAGCACGGCCTACGGACTGGTAACTACACACTGCAGATTTTATCACTACAGGAAGTAAGTTTAGCTTTGAAGCAGCAACCAGAGAAAGCAGAAGCTCACCGGTTTAAAGATAAAGCTGCTGTTGGAGTACCTGACTCAGTGGAGGAGCAGACTATGTGCCTACTCTAATAACATTGTGTGTGTGTATAATGGAGTTTCTGTTTCATGGCGTTTCCTGCTATTATAGGAATCTACAGTGAACAGGGTCGGAGGCAGGACAGGAAGTGCAATAAAAATGGCCTCTTTGAGTTGTCTGTGGTTTATGTGGAGGTGTAGAGATCAGCAGTGTCAACAGGTTTTGTAGCTGAGGACAAATGAAAGATTCAGGCTGCCGCAGTGCATTCTGGTCCTGCTGTGGGTGGCCGCTCGCTCTTTTCTCTCATTTCACTTTATGTTATTAAATGATCCTATAAAATATAAAAACCTACCAAAGTCTGCAGATAGATTCGTTCAACTAAGCTTAATAAAGTATGATTTTCCTCACTGTTTATGGGCTTTCTATTATAACACTGATTCATTTTTAAGTCCATTCCTCTGTTTTTATTTGTAAATCTTCAGTTTACAGACAGAAAAACATCATTTGGTTAAATAATAATGATGTGTGTGAACTTCTATCTGCGTATAGCAACCAGAAACAGATTGGCGTTTGCACGTTGCAGTGATGCATTCATTGATCAGACTGTTAAAAATAAACAGAAACAGAAACTCAACCAAACGGGAATCAAAATCTGGAACTGTTCTGAGCTCGGTCAGAATGTGTGAAACCAGTTCTGCCGCTTCCTGTTGCTGTGAGAGTTGAACTCGATCGGTTCGAGTGTAAAAGTCGGTCACGTCAGTCAAAACTGAGTTCGATTAAGGCTGCTCTGATTGATCGGCCACCAACGGTTATCAGCCGATATTTACTCCAATTAGTTTGATTAGTTTGAGCAGCCGATCAGCTGACGCATTCATTCAGAGTTTGACAGACAGATTTACTTGATCGGGCCGCCGGTAAATGTTCTACAATGACTGGTTCTGTATGTTCCTACATGAAAATACTCATTTTAATATGTACAGAGCGTTATTTATAGTCAGTGACTCATTTACTGACAGATATACGACCACACACACAGGTTTGATCCACTGAGCTTGCCTGCAGTTAATCTGTGTGCACACAGGTCATGTGACCGCAGCATGTGACCTCTCAAAGCTTCACATGGTTTGTTGTCTGAGCAGAAAGAAGCTGAGCTGCTGCTCTCATTACATTTCAACTGAGCAGAGCCGTGATCAGCTGGCTGAACATCAGATTCAGAGTCATATTGGTTTATAGTCGACTTCATGCACCTTTTATTTTATCTGTCTGT